TGGGTAGTTAATAACCGACATACCTGTGGCTTGTCCAACACAAGGTACCGTGTAAAAGTAACAATCATTAATATGATTTGTAGGCTCTCTCCAAACCATTGGGACAGCAAAGCGCATAGACCATTTTTTGCCATTTAACCAGCTCCTCAAACTTGAAGCACAAGTATTACAACAGAGGTGAGGTGCCCACTGTTTGTCTTGATCGCCCAGTTTACAACCGAAATAAAGCTGATATGCCTTTGTTATTAGTGGAGTAATAGATCGTCTCTGAGACGCAAAAGTCACATCACCACACACGTAACAAAACTTATCTGGATTGTTTACACACTTTCGAGACATCTTGCATGAACGCTGTCAGCCAACTGAGGAAAAAATGGCTGATATAAAACAATATAATGTACACGTATGTATAGCGTAACACTACCATGCCGATTACATCATCTTTCCTTGCCGAATATAAAAATTTAGCACGTGCATTCTTGTGAATTACAGTATATTAACACTGTCAAAGCAGGAACACATATAATTACCGTATCTCTAAAACTTGAACTAATATTGAAAAAATAAGTTTCATTCCGGTTTTAGCACATTAAAAATAGTAATATTTTGTTGATTTTATTTAGGATATTTTTTGGCTGTTGTTCAGTGCAATCGGTGGACGTTTTTCTATAGACGCTTTGGCATCAAGCTTTAAAGCTCCTGCGCGCTAGTAGTAGCTAGTAACAACAAAACACGGAAACTCGGAAACCTTCGCATCCCAACATGCCTACCTACATATCAACTAAGACTGACAGTAAACGAAAAGGGAATGGAAAAAGTGACGTTGCCCTCCTACACGAAGCTTCATGCATGAATACGATATCCTCATACCTGACTGGCAGACAGAATTGAATTTAATATGTTTTTGCTACTTTTCTGAATGAAAGGGTCGATGCGAGTCGCTGAAAAACATCATGCATTATTGAAGATCTTGCGAACGCGGTGGAAAATAAACAAAGGTGGAGCTATTGTTTACATGAGAAGTTTTTATAACCGATAACGGATAGCAGCGCTATGTAAGAGCTGATAACTCAGATTTCTCAATGACATACAGAGTGGTCCCAGATTCGCCTCTCTATACAGGGATCTCGGCTCGCGTTATACGTATATACACCTTAGGAAAAACCATTTTTATTCATGGGAAATCATTTCTTGGCAACAGCGCATCGGCTCGTCTACTTTCATCGCTATTCGTATATATTTCCTACCGTTAACGCGCGTGCCGTTGTCAAGTGCGATAAGGGGATTCATGACTCACTCTGCGGTTGGGTTTTGTGTAGGAAAGGTGCGTCTTTATTTAATCCAAAACATCTTAAAAATGTACTCGCAAGAAGAAAAGTTTCAAATGATAGAATGGTACATCCAGAATAATTCAGCACGCGCGGTTGTTGAATTATTTGCGGTACGCTTCCCAGATCGGCCAATTCCGTCTCACGCAACGGTTATAAATACCTACGAAAAATTCAAGAGGGTGGGCTGCTTACATAAGTGCCATAGCTGCATGCACCCTGAAGGTTGGAAACCAAAAATTAGCGAGAAAAGGGAGGAGATCGAAACTGATGTTTGTGCCGCTGCAGAAGTATCTGAGCCATGCTCAAGCAGAAAAATTGCTGAAATGGTACCAATAGCCGATTTCACACCCAGAACAACAAGAAATATTTTGCATCGCAACGGCTATCATAGCTTCAAGGTTGGAACGGTTCAAGAAATATTTCCTTTAGACAAATATCGTCGAATGGAGTTTTGTGAAACGGTCATGGAGCAGGCGCACAGGGATGGAAGTTTTATTGGTAACATTTTGTTTACTGATGAATCCACATTCCCTCTCCACGGTCATCACAATCCTTCAGTCGTTTGGTATTGGTCTCGGGAAAATAAACACCTCAGTATTCCCGTCCGTACGCAGTATCCACAGAAACTGAATGTGTGGGCAGGAATTCTAGGTAATAACATTATCGGACCGTTCTTTATTAATGGAACTCTTACGGCTGCAACATATTTGGCGTTACTACAGACGCAGATTGTTCCTGCAATTAGGCAGCTTGGCATTGATCTCGCTAATATTTGGTTCCAACAAGATGGATGCCCGGCGCATAATGCGGCGATCGTACACACTTACCTTGAAAGTGTGTTCGGCCACCGGATTATTGGCGGTAACGGAACAATAAAATGACCTCCTAGATCACCCGATCTAGCGCCCAATGATTTTTTCTTGTGGGGTTATGTGAAAAGTACTGTTTACACTTTCAATGAGAGAGCAGACAATTTGCATAACCTACAGGTTAAAATCGTTGAAGCGCTCGGGCAAATACAGTCTTCTACCCTCTTGAGAGTTCGTCAGGAGTTTTATAACCGCCTGACATACTGTTCATTGAATGAATGAGACGTTTTTGAGCCCCAGCTGTGAAGGATCATTTGAAACATTTGTGTTCATTATTGCGTTTTATCTTTGAGAACTTATTTCTTTGTTAGAATATCTTTTTATTTTCGTTACACATTTTTAAGAGTGTACTATTCTTTGTTAGAGTGGGTATCTTCTTATTTTTGTTATGAGACGCAACCTTTATTGCTACAAAACCAATTATCCATTCATAAAAATAAGTAGAGTGATTTAGGTGATTTCGTGAAATCTCGAAATCACCGAAATCGGTTCACAGGACGTCCAATCGAACTGGTGCGTAATGCGCGCATCCTCTGTACTTCTTCTGTGACTAAACGCATACTGAAATTTGCAGCAGACCGCAGACCTGTATTACGAATGAGAATAATAAGCAGATACGCTGTGTTGCCAATTTGAGTAGAGCTTCCCGAATTGTGGGGAATTTAGAGTTAAGTGTTGATTCATTCAAGCTTTTAATCAGCATGGCCTAGACGTTAGAACTTCATAAAGGTAACATTAAAGAAGCATGCTGCTGGAGTATAGTGTTTCGAATATTCAAAGCGGAGCGGGACACTATACTCGTTCAATGGGTCATCAAGCCACAGTCTTTTCAACAAAGAAATTATTTTACGAAAATGCGTTATATTTTTACGATTTTGTCGTGACCAAATCTCTGTTTCTCAAAATGTACGTCTATTGTAGAATTTTCAGCAAACTAAGCAAGAAACGTGATCTAGTATTTACTCAACATTACGGATTTCTCGAAATACATTAAAAAATGTGACCTAGATACCTAACTGCCCCAAGCTCTTTAAATATAACACCTTAAACCAAGGTTACCAGGTGCTCAGTCACGTTGATTGTCATGTTGTACTGCGCAAGTCAGCAAACAATCTGGCGTAATAAACGTTAGGAATCATCAGGTATTGCCAGATTCCCGAATACCGGGCACCATAGTACCCGTTATAGTTGTCCTTCAAAGTTGTCAAATCGCCCCTATGGCGCAAATTCGCCACACCAGGCAACTGTGCTATAAACAAACCCTGTTTATCACTACTATTTGATAGTCATATGGTAGTTGTAGCGGTCCATGATTTCTCTCAATACTGTTGTATCTCTACTGGCAACAAGAATAGGGATTACAAAATCATTTATACAACAATATACAAACATGAAAAATATGATTTGAACTATGAAACATTAATACAATTTTAATAGTTTGAACTTTTTTCATTTTTGGAATACTCTTATGTGGAATCCGCAGCTATTTTTCCCGAAATTTGGGTAGACTTAGATTTCTTAGAAATATGACATATTGGTATCGCCAACTCTGCGAATGGGAGAAACAAATCGCATTTGTTGAACGCATCCGTCTAAGCGGCAGGTGCCAGCGCCCGTTCTGCCATCTCTCTTTTATCACTCTTCTACTTTACCCCGTTGTCCGTCACACTCACACTCCGACGCTGCCAGATAGGATCCTACAATCAAGTGTCTTTCACGCACCTACATACTTTTGTATATTTCCATCTCTCTTCCTCATCATAATGTGTAATAATGGTTTTCCGAAGGTGTATGTAAGTTTTAGAAGAAACTTAGTGCTTTCGACAGTCCGCTTCAGAAAATGTCGATTTTTGTTTTTTGCCAGTAAATCCGAAACGGTTAATTTAATAGCTGTCAAAATGTGACATTATTAGGACATTTTTTTAAGAAAAATTGCTCAGATAAATAGAGTTTTTAATTCTGATTTAAAAAATGTATCATACGTCATACATTGACATTGCCAAATTTCAGTTAATTCCAGAAAAGCAGAATTCCCTAGGTAGGCCTTGGAATTATCAGGTTGTCAGTTGTTTTGCATACCAGATTTATCCCAAAATCACTCTTACTTTTTCCTTACGTCGACCGCCATATTGGATTTAGCTTTGCTTATTGCATATCTCTCATCTAACCCTTATTTTTGACACCGCTAGCATAGGCGTGACTGAAAAATTTTATCGCCATCTTGGATTTAGGACATCTCCTGCTCATTCTGTTTCTCTCGTTCCTTGGCATGCTAGATCCATTGTCGCTTCACGCCTTGAGTTTCACACCGCTGCACAGTGGGGCAGAATCAAAAAAGCTGGTCAAAATTCAGAAAGTATCGTAAATGATCTCAAATTCTCTTTTTTGGGGGTCCTTGGGGTCACTGAATATGAATCTGTTATTAGAATTACGATTTTCGAAATGGCGGGCCCAAAATGGCGAACATAATTTAACCAATTAGTCAAATAATCCAGTAAAAATACCCAATTGTTTTTGTTTATGGTGTTTGGAATCGCTGATTACGAATTGGTTATCAAAATGTTAATTTTCAAAATAGCAAACGCGATATACTCGTATTAATTCCGCAAAAAATTTTAATTTTTTAATATTTTTAAATAGAAACTATTTTATAATACTTTTAGGTTTTAATGAGTAAAAAATCTTTCCAGCAACGATTTTATTTATCAAAAATTTCTTTTATAAAAAATTTGCAACAAAATGAATCTCTGTTATTTACTTCTAGTAACAAAAGTCTTGTACGTCATCTTCAATGTTCGAATCACTCGATTCGGATTCTGATGTTGTCCCACTTGTATCCAAATCGGAAATCCTTCCTTGTCTCTTGTCTGGTGACTTCAGGTTGTTTTAACAATTGTAGGGATTCTTTATGTAAAGGTTTCGCCGGTCTCTGGGGCAATTTCCTGATGCTTGAGAGAAATTCATCTGATGTTACTAAGAGCCTATTGAAGATATCTCTCAAATTCGATTCTCTAGAGCATTTCCTCGCATTATTTAGTCTGTATTTCTTAATGTCCTTATTTAGTGACTCTTGGGCCTCTTCAGACAGTTGACCGATCGGTAAGAGGGCATATTTTACAATTTCTGCTCCGTGCATCAACACTTTATGTACAGATGTTGGCGTGTAATACCATGGATATAAAACAACGAATAAACGAGCAGTATTTACACAATATTCTTTGAACTTTCCTCTTCTATATCATACCCGCTCGAAATTACCTGCAAAATAACATTAAAATAACATTAATCAATGTTTGTAAGCAGAAAATATACCAACGTAATAATCAATGCATCACAGTCACACGTCCAGTATTGTCGCGCCACGTATTTCTCCTTAAAAATTAGTCTAACTATTCGTTGAGCAGCCCTGAGCTGCCAGATTTTTACTAACGGGTGATTTTTTAAGAGGTAAAGGATTTGATTTTAAAAGAAAACACAAAAAATTTGAAAAAATGATTAAATCTTTATTTGAGTCGATAGAACGGTCGATAGAATTTAATGTTTAAAGATTATTCCATGTAAATGTTGGCCGCAGCTCCGCTTTAGATGGCCCATCCGCAAGGTCCAATTTTGGCACACTCTCTCCAACATATCGGCCGGTATCTCACGAATAAATGCTTCAATATTGGCTTCCAGTGTATCAATCGTTGCTGGTTTATCCCTGTAGATATTAGCCTTAACATGGCCCCACAAGAAATAGTCCAACGGCGTTAAATCACACGATCTAGTCGGCCAACTGACGGGCCCCAAACGTGAGATAAACTGTTCACCGAACTCGCCTCTCAATAGGGCCATGGTTTCGTGTGCGGTGTGGCATGTGGCACCGTCTTGCTGAAACCACATGTCAGCCAAGTCCAGCTCTTCCATTTTGGGCAAAAAAAAGTTTGTTATCATCGCACGGTAGCGCTCACCATTCACAGTTACGTTCCGGCCATTGTCGTCTTTGAAGAAGTACGGCCCGATCATGCCACCGGCCCATAATCCACACCAAACAGTAATTTTTTCGGGATGCATTGGTAGCTCTTTCAATGCTTCTGGCTGGTCTTTTGCTTGTTAACGTACCCATTCAACCAGAAATGAGCTTCGTCGCTGAACACAATTTTTCGATAAAAATGTGGACCTTCCTCCAACTTTGCCAGCGCCCATTCACCAAATTGGAAACGTGGTGGGAGGTCGTAAGGCTTCAATTCTTGCACCAGCTGTATCTTATAAGGTTTTACACCCAGATCCTGTCGCAAAATTTTCCACGTAGTGGAGTACCAGAGGACCAATTGCTGCGAACGGCGGCGAATCGACATTTCACGGTCATCACTAACACTGGCGGATACAGCCGCAATATTTTCTTCAGTCCTCACTCTACGTCTGCATGTTGTCCAATGTCCAAATGTCCAATAATGTAAACTGGGTTCGAAATTTAGTCACAAGCTTCCGAATAGCTCCCTCAGTAGGCCGACCAAATTGCCCATAAATTGGAAGCAGTGCTCGATGCACTTTCTTAACCGAGCATGAACTTTGATGGTAAAATTCAATAATTTGCAAGCGTTGTTCGTTCGTAAGTCGATTCATGGTTAAATTATAGAGCAAACTGAACCAGTTTGACAATCACACAAGACACGATTCATGCGTCATCTGTCAAAAACAGTGTTGCCAAAAAGATACTAGCAAAAAAATCACCCATTATATTATGTTACATACTATACACTATCACTTCCTTGTCGAAACAAGATCGAGACTCGCGAAGACATTTTTAAAACTACTTTAGAAAATCGATTTTATAAAAAAATGTACAATTGTTTATGTTTATTTGTTGTAAAATTTAAATATTTCAAACACAAAATAAGCAACAGCTGTGCATAACCATATATTCTGCATATCTTTAGAAATTAATCCATTTTGCACAATTCAAATTGAGATTGTTTCGTTTGTTTTACAGCACTTCGAAACAGGCCAGAATTTTTCGACGTACCGTACCGAACGACTGCTGAATGTCGACTGATGTCAAGGCGACCCTAGAGCAAGTATATACCTGCCCTGTCCGGAATTTTATTCTAGGATTTTCCGTAAACAAGATCTAAACGTATATAGATATATACAACTCAAAAATTTGATTTTTGGCCAGTTCTTTAGGATTCTGCCCCACTGTGCGGTGGTCGTAATCGCCCACTTAACACCCTAGATACATAAGCTACTATTCCTGAATATTTTTAGCAGACAGAGTTTGGTTCTTAAGACATAGCCTACGCAACGATAGAGTGAATATAATTAACGACTTTTTAAAAGTTAATTCAAATTTCGTACGACACGCGAACACTAACGCGTGCGTGGGAAAACGATATTCAACTGCTACACATTTGCGCGGCGACTTAATCTCATCGACACATAAAAACCTTTTGCGCCTCTTATTTGAGGGAATTCTGGCAAGCATTGTCGTCGGATATTGGAAAGTTCCTTGCAACACCCGGTCAATGGCTCGTTGAGCTTTAATTGAAAATATCACACGATAAAAAGAGGCAGGGGGAGATACAGGACCAATATTAGAAGCTGCCGATAAGGGATCCTCGTTACAAGACGGCTATGAGGCATGTGCAGGTGCTGATAAATGTTTTTTCTTCACAATCTTTTTATGGGAACACAGCTTCTTTCTTTTTTATGGTTTCTGAAGGTCGACCTATTTGAAACAATTGAGAAGATGTACTTGTTTGTTGCGACAAGAAAAACATAACCCTTTCATGAGGGTACCAACGATCACTTATCATTATCTTCAAACATTGCATACTGCAACTTGATAGTTATCATGTACTCTACCACATTATATGAAAGAAGTATTTGAACTTTGACCTTGCAGAAGGAAGACAAATAAAATATTTTCTCAAAAGATTCATAATTATATTTTTAAACAACTTACATTGGTTTGTATATTTAGAACAATATACTCCACTATAAAGAAGTGTAATGTTGACAGTCGTTTAAGTTGTAAAGGCAATAAACCTCAGTTTTAGCCTCAATCCCAACCACCAGTATTGTAACACAACAGAAGCTTGCTGCGCTAGTTCTCAACGTCCTTCACTACCTATAAAATATTGCTTCCATCTTTTCTAACTTAAGCAACAAACCTAAAAGTGGTTTTATACTAGAAATTGTTTGGAAGACGTCGAAATTATAGAATTAGGGACAACTTCAGCAACATTAATATCTAACGGTCCCTTGGACCAATTTTGAAGGTGCACTTCGGACTTGCATTGTCTGTAGTTTATCTGTAAGTTAATATTTCACTATATAACTAGAATTCCCATAATATGTATTCTGTGTCAAAACAAAAACGCGAAACTTAATCAGACTCACTTGAAGAGCTATCGTCATTAATGTTTATGATGATGGATTCAAAGTCTCTCTCAATTATGTTGTCCAGCTCTCACATTGCTACCTCCACTCTTTCTCCTGAACATGCTGCACACATTTTTGCCATCTTGCCATCTTTCTGGTGTGACCGTCTGTATAGCAATTCTGAACAGCTCTTGCATGTCAGAAAATTTAAATGTTGTATTGTGTGCAGCATCAAAATTCTTAACATCTGCCCATATGAGCTCAATGGGGTTGAGCTCACAGTGGTAAGGCGGCAAACGGAGTACTGTTTTGTGGTGTGCTTTGGTCATTTCATCTATGACATATTTATCATGTCTTGGTCTGTGTTGTTGCACAATATCTAATAGTTGTAATTTCAGTAACGAAGGGTCGAAAGTTATATTTTTGGAACGGAGCCAGCTCTGAATGTCTGATTTCGTAGAAGCTGAAGTTGGGATTTTTTCTATTTTGCGAGAATGATAGGGAGCATTATCCAAAACAACCACAGAATTGTCTTCGAGACGTGGTAAGCTGCCACTTCTCGAATGCTTCCCCATTCATCTCTTCAGGGTAGTCAGTGGTTTTTTTTGACTCAAAAGATCATAAGCCGTCATCCACGAAGCCATCTACACCCTCAATGTGGCAAATAATGAGCCTTTTTCCTTTGCCTAGAAAGATCAAATCCGCTAAGTACACATGCATGTCTTGTAGGTACGAAGATAGAGAGATATTGTGCGCAAAAATTGATACAGTGAACTACCTCGATCTATTCACCTGCTGGATTTTTCAATCCGGTCGACAGTCCATCTAGAAATGCCCTTCTGGATGAAGTCACAGTTTTGTCAACCCATACCTTCGGAGTAGTGTTCCCAGCGTTAATCCAGATTTCGTCCAGGTAATAGATCTTCCTGTGCTGATCCCTGAATAATTTAATTTTGGTCAGGTACTCTCTCCTCCACAGACAATTTCTTCTCTATCCATAAGTAAGCTGTTACGACCTCGTTTCTTCCATTCGAAATTAAGATGCTTCAAAAGTTTATGAATATTCTAACGTTTGAAATTTGGTAACATAGCATCCTCGTTAACCTCCCGTAGTACTTTATCAACTGCAGGTATTTCGTTTCTGAAGAAGAACTCGTGCACTTTCCTCCGAATCGCAACGATCTTATGATACTTTTGCGATTTTTACCCGTCATTGGCTTGGAAAAGGCCTGCTTTTTCTTACGTTCGTTCAAAACATCGTACACTGTCGCTTGGCATACCCCAATTTTATCTGCCACTTTCAGAGCTATTTTCAGGTTAGTTGATGTTTCGTCTTCATTCCGTTCTATCTTGAATGTATTCAGTATAACGTCTTTCATGTCTACGCTAAGATGTCTTTCTTTATCGCTTTCTAGGAGGGCTAAGGGAGTAGCCTACAGCCTCGTCAGCAGTATCTGTACTGGACATGTTCAGGATTAGTTCAAAACAAATAATCACGAGGAATAACAATAACAAACAGAAACTTAACAAATTGCTCAAATACACACAACAACAACAGCAACAACCAAGCAAGGTGAATACGAAACACGAGCACGCAGTGATACACGCAACGGTCGGTGGCCTGAATGCAACTCTGCCTGTCCTGCCCCTGCTCCGCGCATTACTCCGCCAGGCGACCGCTTGAAATTTAATGGCGAATTGACCAATAAGAGGCGTTGTCTCCACCTGTTACCGAGAGATCACGCGCTAACTGTTATTATTTACATCTCATCT